TATGGTGGTAAATATTTGATGAGCTTTTCTATTTCCTTCTAGGTCACAATTCCTTCTGTTGTAATTTATTCAAGTTTTCCACCTCAAGTCAATTTTGATCATTTATATTTTCTTGGAAAACCTTTCATGTGGTTTTGATTTTATGCTTATCTGTTCCTTTAACTTCATTTTTATTTTTATTTTTTTTAGCACCCTTCTTGAGTAGGGTGCTTGGTTACCAGGGTCATTTATTTTGAATGATACTTGTTTCTAAGAAAAGCATATGGTTTCAACTTTCCATTTGAGGAGAGCATAAATTCTGCCTCTGGGACCTTTATAGCCAGGGTCTGCATTGTCACTCATTTCGAAAGAGAACATTTCATGCAAAAATGAGCACAAAAAAGGACAGACACGGCAAGGACCTAACAGAAGGAGAAGAGTAAGAAGGGGTGGCAAGAACACACAAAACTATAAAAAATAGGTCTTAGTGACCCGGATAGCCATAATAGTGTGGTCACTCACATAGAGCCAGACATCCTGGAGTGTGAAGTCAAGTGGGCCTTAGGAAGCATTGCTGCAAACAAAGATACACGAGGTGATGGCATTCCAGCTGAGCTATTTAAACTCCTAAAAGATGATGCTGTTAAAGTGCTGCATCTATATGCCAGCAAATAAAATGTCAGTTTTCATTCCAACCCCAAAGAAGGGCAATGCCAAAGAATGTTCAAAACACCATACACTTTGAAATAGTCTGATTTTTTTCCCATTGTAATTTAAAGTTATTTAGAAGACTCATTAAAAATTTGTGAGTTAAGTAGTGAGTCTTGTTTCTTGTCATTGCTCTTTAGTTCTTTGTTTCCAGATATACTGTTGCTATTTACTCCTGTCCGACTCTTTGTGACCCCAGGGACTGCAGCCCACCAGGCTCCTCTGTCCATAGGATTCTCCAGGCGAGAATACTGGAGTGGGTTGCCATTTCCTTCTCCAGGGGATCTTCCCGACCCAGGGATCGAACCCACGTCTCCTGCTTGGCAGGGGACTCTTCATCACTCAGACAGCGGGGAATCCCTTCTGGATTCATAGTTTTACAGTAAGAACGAAATGAGCAGCACAGTTCTCACTTTGGAGTACCGACATGTCGTTCACTTTGTGTGGGTAATGAAACCCAGAGTGGCTTTCCCTGCGCTCAGACATGGCACCCCATAGTGTGGTGACTGACGTCAGACAGAGGCTGCCCCCGAGCGAAGTGCCAGCGACTGCCTGGAAAACCGGCTGGAGGGAGATGTGGGGGTGATAGACATATTCTCATCCTATTACAGGTGGTTAAAGCGTATGCTGCAATTGCCAAACACATTTGGTGTGCTTAGTGTATATAAGTTATATAGTAATTAAAATATGGAAACAATTCCTGTTTGTCAGTTAGAGCATCCCACATATTTGGATTCCATTTGGTTCCCTGGACTTCATAACAAAGTGCTACCAACTGGGTGCCTTAAAACAATGGAGAAGGAAATGGCAACCCACTCCAGTATTCTTGCCTGGGAAATTCCATGGACAGAGGAGCCTGGTGAGCTAAAGTCCATGGGATCACAAGAGTCGGACTCGACTTAGTGACTAAGCCACCACCAAAACAACAGAAATTTGTCCTCACAGTTCTGAAGGGTAAAGTCTGGAAGTCATGGAGTCAGCAGGACTGTGCAAATATAGACACTCACAGTCACACAGCGTGTGAGCCAGGATCACTGATCCCTGATCGCATTGTGTGTTCCCCACATTGTCCAGCACCATTAAGAGCCACTGGCCAATCTCATTATGCTTGATAGTTTGACAGAAATGTCCCAGAGGATCAAATGCATGATCATCCAGAACTTGCCTCTTACACTGATATGACTGGGGCCCCAGTGGGCTGTTTTGTACATCATGCTTGCCCATCACCATGCCAGAGCTTCTTCACTATTGGAAATGGAATCATCAGAGCATTTCCACTGAGTCAGATTCAGGAACCTTACCTGAAATCCCAGAGCAAATCCGTAAACTCGCCCTTAAGATTCTCTTCCTCTAGAGCCACCCAAGTAGAAAATGTGTATTAACTTGGGTTCTCTAGACAAACAGGCCCAGTAAGGTATGCATATTTATGGACAGAGATTCATTCTTAGGAATCAGGTGATGTGATTTTCGAGGCTGGCAGGTCCCAAATCTGCAGGTGGGCCAGCGGGCTGGAGACCGAGAAGGGCTGATGCTGCAGCTTGAGTCTGAAGGCATTCTGGGTGCACAGCTCCCGTCTCCTAGGGGGGCGTCTGTCTGCTTTCTCAACGGCCTTAAGCCGCCCGGATGCAGCCCACCCCCGTTCTGGAGGGTGGTCTTCACAGATGAAGCCTGGAACACGACAGGGACGAGGTAACATGTGCTGAGTGAAGGAAAGAGTGAGAGAGTGAAGCCACAGAGGCAGGAGTCTACCCTAGAGGAGCCTTTACTGGGGTGAGGACCGGCGAGGCGGGGGCGGTCACAGCACCAGGCCTGGATGGTGGCATGGAGGCCTTCCAGCTGTCCTTCCAGCACTGAGCCCCCTTCACCTGCGCTGTGCTGACCTCCTGGACCTTCTTCATATGATGCTGCCTGTTCCTGGAGGCAGGGCTGCAAGGAGGGGCCCCTGAGGAGGAGCTTCCTGGACCCTGTGCCCTGCGGGACCACCGTGAGCTCGTGTCTGACTCTGTGCGACCCCGTGGACTGTAGCCCGCCAGGCTCCTCCGTCCGTGAGATTCTCCAGGCAAGAACACTGGAGTGGGTTGCCATTCCCCCCTCCCGGGCATCTTCCCCACCCATGGACCGACTGCCTCTTAAATGTCGCCTGCATTGTCTGGCAGTTCTTGACCACTGGCGCCACCTGCAGGTGGCTCTTGCATTCCAGGCACGGAGCAAGAGCCCCAACATCGTTTCTCGGGTGGTTCTCCCAGCAACCCATCAGGCTGGCCCAGTGACTTCCCCACTTCACAGACAGGGCAACTCAGGCTCAGAGCCTTGCCCGGGGCACCAGCTACAAAGAGGCTGAGCTGGAGTCAGGACTCCGCCTCCGCGACCTGGATCATTCCTACCACGGTCCCACACTGGGGGCCTCCTGGCGCTCCGGGGTCCTGGCTTCCCTGGGGGCCACACCCTCCTGGCCTTGAGCTTCCTGTGAAATCGGGGGTCAGAGCCACGCCTCTCTCTGGGGCTGGCAGTGACCGCTGGGGAATGGCCACCAGCCCCGGGCACTGCAGGCTCTCCCAGTACCCGGACCAGCCCATCCCCACCAGAGAACGAGGTTCCCTCTCTGGGCACCAGGACCAACAGCTCAGGGAAGAGCAGAGCCTGGAGGTCCCTCCTGTAGCATCTGGATGCAGCTTGAATGTCAGGTGCATTCACCTGTTAGACCCCCCGAGGGGTCTAACAGTCACTGGGGTCAAATCCTCCCTAGGTCATTCTGTAGGGCACACGGGGGCAAGTCTCTCTCTAAGCCTCAGTTTCCTCATCAGTGAAATGGGGGCAGTAATCCCTCTGCCCACCTCTGGGCTGGGGCCAGTCCTGCCTCTCGCGGCCGCAGTGACCCACGGGCCCATGAGGGCCTGGGTATGAGAATGCGTGAGTCCAGCCCAGCCTGGTCGCGGTCCCGGGTCTCCATCCTGGGTGACTGTGGCGGGACCCGCTCTGAGGCGTGCGCGCCGCGGGCCTGCCTGGCAGCCGGGCCTCGTGTCGACGGCCGGGCGCGCACACCAGCCCGAGGGCCGCGCGTGCACCCGCCGCCTCCCCGCCGCGCTTGCGCAACGCCAACGGCTCTCCACCCAGCTGGTCCAGCCAACGGTTCTGCGACCCCCGCGTCTCCCGAGCCCTGGGATCACCCCGGCCCAGCCAGGCCGGCCGCAGGGTGCTGGCGCGGTGGGTTGCCATCGTCGGGAGAGGAAAGTCGCCGAATAACCACCCCCCACCCCTCTGTCCTGGCAGCCAGACTTCTTCCCGGGGTCCAGCTCGGCGCGTGGCCAGCCCGGGGACCCGGAGCTGCAGTGGACGTCTACTCCTCGTCTACGCCCTGTCCTGACCCCCGGTCTTTCTGGAAGGACCCATGGAGGAGGGGGCCCACCACCCTTATGGGTGAGGGTTGAGAGGCAGTTCCCGTTATTAGGGAGCCTTCTGGGCGCTCAGTGATTTCACCCCACCTTGGAGATGAACAGCGGCCCCATCACTCAACGTCATTCAGCTCTAAGTGACCAAGGCCGGCTGTGATGGGGGTACTCAGACCATTGCTCTTCACCTCCACCGAGCCCGCGCTGACCATCAGAGGCCTCGTCCTGTGTTGGACTCCCCCAGCCAGGCCACCGCCTGAGAGCAAGCACTGTGAGTGCCTTCATCTCTCAGCCTTTATCCCCTCAAAGCCTTCCAAGGTCAGAGTCGCCGACTCCATCCTCAGTGGAGGAAACTGAGGCTCTGGGAGTCGCCACAGGAGCTGGCCTGTCGCAGGGCTGGGACGTGGTCCTGCTATAGGTTTGAATCCAGGTCATTCTGACCCCCAGATCGGTTCCAGCACAGAGCCCTGGAGATGGCTCTGAACGAGGTTGGTGGTGAGTCTGTCATTTGGGGGGGGAGGGGAGGGGGTGCTGCAGGCAGCGGGCTCTGAGCGGGGGCTTGGAAGGGTCCCCGGGGGAGGAAGGCGGTGGGGAGGCTGGGGTGGGGCGAGGGGTGCTCCCCGAGGAGGGAGGGTGGACCAGACCGCACAGGGCTCTGAGTGTGGGGGGCCAGGGGTCGGAGGTCACCGCAGGTTGTGTGGGGGACAGGACATGAGGCGGCTGTCCTGTCAGATCCGCAGCACCCTAGATTGGAGGGCGCATGGAGGCCACATTAACTATGCCCCCCAAGCATGGGTCTCCGATAACCTGCCAGGAGGAGGAGGCCGCCTCAGTTTCCCCCTGTGCACAGTGGGGGCTGTGGTGGTCGTCTGCCTCATCTCAGGGTGGGGCCCGCTGCCCGGAGGGTCCGCAGGTGGCCTCTCGTCAAGGCGGCCATTCAGCAGAGGTCTGTACCCAGGGACGTGTGAGTGAGGGGGCTGAGGCATCGCCCTCCCAGTCGGCACGAAGCTCTTGTCCGTGTTGTGTTCTCACGTCCAGGCTGACATGGATGATGCAGCGTTGTCCACCTGCCGGATGGAGAGCCTCAGCGAGGGGCTGGGCTGCGGTCCCCGAGACCCAGCGCTCGTGTGCCCGGGGCTCCACGGACTTGCGGGCAGCTGAAGGCCAGGTGCTGCTGGAGGCCCCGTGGAGGCCCGAGGTCCCGAGGGATGACGGGGTCGACTCCCAGAACCCACGGATGGCGAGGGCAGCAGATGCCCTGGACTCTGCAGGGCGCCCCATGCCAGCATCCAGCACTGGGGGCCTCTTGGCCACTTCTGTGGTGTGGAGGGGGAGACTGGTCGCCGAAAGGAAGAGCTGGGAAAAGCTGTTTGGGGAGGGGGGTGGCATATTCACCTTGTTTTCCTGGACATCAGGGGACTCAGGGCCACAGCTCCCATTGTCGTGACACGCTGCAGGGTGGAGGAGCTGGCACGTGCTCACGCAGTGCAGGGCAGCGTCCCCACGGCTGAGGTCTGCGCCTGCCTGAGCTGGGCCCGGCCGCGGGTGGGAGCTGTCCCTGGTCCTGGAGTCTGTGCTGGGGGGACCTGGTGACTGATGGAGGGGCCAGCTCCGCAGTGGTCACACCCGCTGGGTGAGTGGTGCTCTGGGGTGTCCATGGCACACCCAGGGACCGTGTGACCTGCACCCGGGAAGCTGCGGGGGAGGTGCACAGAGGACAGGGCCTGGGTGGTGGACAGGGTGCCGTGCTGGTGGGCAGCGCTCCTCGGGAAGTCAGCTGGAGCTGGCCTGGTGGGCGGGCTCCAGGGCTGGGCCAGCTCTGCCTCTGGCAGCTGTGCTCAAAGTGATGCCCGAGCCAGTGGAGATAGGCGTGGCTTAGCTCTGGACCGGCAGCCAGAGCGCGCTCTGACCCTGGAGCCAGTCCAAAGGTGAGAAGGTGCTCGAGGCTGTGACTGGGCCACCGGAGGTCAGGTCCGCCTGTTGAGCAGCAGGTGTCATCTTGGCAGCAGAAGTTCAAGGTGAGCGCACTCGGGTGGTCTGGACTGTCTTTTTGGGAACAGGGTGCCCCACTGGCCTTGGTCTCTTCAATCTGTACGGCTCGGCTTCCCAGCTGGGTGTAGACCCTGGCAGGGTCCCCTGTGACTGACCAGTGCAGGGGGCGATGAGAAGGTGCTGCTGGCAACCTTGAGCCCCTTCGGCTTCATGTGGGGGAGGGTTGAGCTGGCTCCATGCCTGACCTCACCCCTCTGGTGAAGGTCAGCATCTCCAGGACAAAGTCATGGTGGGCGGTGGGGCCAGTGGCCCTGAACACAGTGGTGTTATCAGAGGTCTTCGCCTCTGGTGGGGTGGGGCAGAGGAGGGTCCACCACTCTCCGGAGGGGGCCGCAAGCCGGGGCGAGGGGCGTGCAGGGAGACCGGAAGCGGGTTCATGGCTGTCAGCAGCGGGGATTGAGGTATAACTGCTTAGTGGGTGCAGGGCTCCTGTTGTCATGATGAAGATGCTCTTGAACTAGGGAGTGGTGATGTTACACAGTCCAGAGGATGTAGTTGACAGAGTGCCCCACTTAAAACTGTTGAAAGATGACATTATATTGAATCTAAAATTTAGAATATTAAATGTTAAAAAATCTATAACATGTAACAGAAATAAGGTGTTCTCACAGGTGAGCTTCCCTTGTGGCTCAGCTGGTAAAGAATCCCCCTGCAATGCAGGAGACCTGGGTTCGATCCCTGGGGTTGGGAAGATCCCCTGGAGAAGGGAACAACTACCCACTCCAATATTCTGGCCTGGAGAATTCCACAGACTGTATAGTCCATGGGGTCGCAAAGAGTCGGACACAACTGAGCGACTTCCACTTTCACAGGCGAGGTGGAGGAGGTCTCTGGGGTTGCAGCCGGGAGTAGCCGGAGCTTAGGGACAGGTGCTGAGGGTGGACAGATGGCTGGCTCGGCCTGTGGAAGAGGCCTGGGAGCTGGTGCCTCTTACGAGGCTGGAACATGGCTGTGTCAGGCAACCGTGCTGGAGCTGGTTCTAGAAATGGCTCTAGTTCTGAGATTGATTCCAGTTCTGGCGCTGATACCAGATTGAGTGCAAGAACTAGCGACTGAAATGGCTTTAGCTCTGGAGCCAGTCCCTTTGAGCTGGAGCTGGCCCTAGTCTGGAGCTGGTCCCATATCCAGCTCTGGAGCTGGGGCCCGAGCGGGCACTTGTCTATGGATGGGGCATGTCCTAGCGCTTCAGGGGGCTCTGCCCTGGAGCTGACTCCAGAGCCCGCTCTGGCTCCACAGCTGGTGCAAGCTGTTGTGCTGGAGAGGCCCTGGCTCCGCCCCGCCCCCAGCGGCCGTGGCTGAGATGCTGCCTCCGGGGGTGGGCTCTCCGAGGGCAGGGCTGGGGTGGGCAGGGACCACTCACAGCACAGAAGGCCCGAGTGAATGCTTCCTCATGTGTAACATGACACCTACCTCTTAGGCCTGTGCACTGGTTCAATAGAATTAACTTGCTTGCCTGTACCAGGCAGTGTTCTAGAGGCCTGGGAACACCGAGGTGAACAAGCCTGGAGCCGACAGATGAGCTCAGGGCCCGGGCAGGTGTCCCAGCTCAGGTGGGAGCCGCAGGTCCCGCAGGCGTCCCTATCCAGGTGGGAGCCGCAGGTCCCGCAGGCATCCCTGTCCAGCCGCTCAGGATCGACCGGGCGGGGGCTGTGGTGGAGGGGATGTGAGGTCTTGGTTGGAGTGCCTGTGCTGCTCATCACCCCCGCATACCTGTTCCCTTCACTGTCCTCAGCCTTGCCCTCCATAAAATGGGCCGTGACGGTGTCTGTTCCTAGGTTCCGCCTCCAAGGAACCTTGATCTTTTCAGACAGAAGGTAACTCGCCATTCTCTCTCTTCCTGGCGGTAACTCAGAGGACTGGGCTCTAGTTCACTGGGGGAACCAGACGGTGCTCCCAGGGGGTTGGCTAGAGCCCCCTGCTGCTGCTCAGTGGCTGAGCTGGGCCACAAGTCCTGGGCTCACAGATCAAGCTGCTCCTCCAGGTGCTTGGAAAAGGCAGCCTGAAGTCTGGGGGGCTGTCCAGCAAGGCTCAGCCCTGCCAGCGGTCAGCAGCAGGGGCGATCTTTACAGGTCAGCGCTCAGAGGTCTTCCTCCCTTCCCTCTTATTTTCTACCCCAGTAACACTTTGTTCCTTGGGTGGATGGTCATCACGTGTCCTCTCCTCAGTGGAGGGAGCTGGGACGTTTCCAGTCTTTTGCTCTGACGAGGAAGGTGCAGGAAATAATAGGTACATGTGCCAAATGTAGAGGTGTTTCTATGGGGCGGACCCCCTGAACTGGGCCTGCTGAGTCAGAGGGTAAATGCATCTGTAATTTTGACAGATGTGACCTAGCTGTCTCCATCAGAAAGAAACCTGTATTCCCATCAAAGACAAATAAAAGTTCCTATTTCCACACAGCCCCAGAGTATATTTCCAAACTCTGTTTTTTTGTGTCATTACTAAGACTGAGCACGTTTTCTTGTGTTTAAAGCTACATTCATTTGTGAAGGTCTGATGATGACTTTTGTGCTCTATCTGGCTGCTTTCTTAATTTCTAGGGACTCTCGGGCTGTGCGGTGCAGCTTGTGGGATCTTAGTTCCCTCACCGGGGATTGAACCCGGGGCCCTCAGCAGTAAAGGTGCAGAGTCCTACCCAGTGGACCCCCAGGGACTTCCCTGGGTTCTCTTTATATGAAGGTGTGAGCCGCTCTGAGGTGAGAACATTTATTCCAGGTGATTATTTTTCATTTTTACTTTATGTGCTTTCCTCTCATGTATAGTGAAGATGTACATTCTCCCTCAATTTATTGATTTAACATGAACTATAAAATACCTTAGCAAGTATCTCATCATGGAAACTGGTCCAGTTTGGAAAAGCATGTAAAAATACAAAAGCCAAGGACAGTCAGGACAATCTTGAAGAACACAGAAGGCTTCACCAGCAGGCATCCAGACTTCTTGCGAAGCTCCAGGACTTGGAGCAGTGGGGTGGGGCCAGGCACACAGCCAAGGAAAGGATGGGGTCCAGCCCAGACCCGCACAAGGCGACGGTCACAACTCTGACCGGCCTGCTGAGGGGATCCAGACCTAAAGAGCAGACCCTGCATCCTCCCACGTAAGTGCAGTCTAGCACGGGCACACGGGCATCGCACTTGTAACTGAGAGGCACTGCAGCGCAGTGGGGGGGACGCTCTCAGCGAACGGTCCAGGCCCACCTGTTACTCACTTGGGAAAAGAAATCCATCCTGACTCCCACCTCACGCCGTAAGCAAAGATCAACTCCAGGAGGATATTAGATCTGAGTGTGAGAGTTTTAAACAACATTTCTAGGAGATTACAGAAGAATATTTTCATGAACTTGGAGTAAGCAAAGACTTCTTAGAACACAGTTCACTATACAAGTAGAGAAAATGTGATAAACTGGGTCTTTTAAAATGAACTCCTCCTCACCAAAATGACATTATGATCAAAGAAAAGGCAGGCATGGAGAGAGGGTAAACACTTGCCACATATTTATTTGAAAAAAAGTCTCTGACGTCTGTAATAAGTCCCTTTATTTTGAAAAAGATGGATAACCCATAAGAAAATAGGCAAAAATTAGAGTAGGCATTTCACAAAGATAAATGGGAACAAACATGCCTAGATAGCCCACACTGTTATTAGGAACATGCAAAATAAAACCACAGTAAGACACCACTACACAGGCACCAGATTCACTGAAATAAGAAACCCCGACGGCACCAAGTGGAGGTGAGGGTGTGGAGCCGCTGGAACACTCACCCTCGGCTGTCGGGGCGAGCAGGTAAAACTGCTGCAGAAAACCCGTCCGTCGCACCTCCTAAGGATGGACACAGAGACACCGCGACCCGGCCGCCCCGCTCGCTGGCAAACACTGAACAGGTGTAAACGCGCATTCACCAGAAGACACGTTCCAGCATGTTCCGAGCCACATAAGTTGACATACTGTGAAATCAGAACCCACACAGGCATGTCTAGTGGAATAGATTTTTAAAAAAAAGCAGGATACAAATATATGTTTAGAACTTATTTCGTGAAGTAAAAAGGTCTTTTGTGAGTGGACCACATCCTGCTACATAAAAGCCGCCAGTCCTTAAAGGAGATACTGGAGGAGCTCACTCAGATGCAGGACGGAGTGGTCAGGTTCACGGGGACCAGGAGCAGGATACAGGGTCTGTGTGGAAGGTGGGCGTTGCTGAGAGCGCTGGGAGAGAGCTCTCCAGGAGGGAGCCGGGGGGACACTGAGGCCAGGGACTCATGCACGTCACAGCCAGCCTGGCTGGGATCTGACCTTTGACCTGATGAAGCCACCCGGAACATCGGCCAGAAACCATGACAACCTATCTCCTCACTGGCCCCTTACCCTAAAACAATTTGTGATTCCTCAAGGCCAGATGAAAACCTACCAACCACAGAAGGGAAAAACAGTGCTAACACGGGACTTCCTTCTACCAACGAGAGGGAGAAGGGGGCCCAGAAAATGCAGCATTTCAGACTGCACCAGGGTTTCATGACAATCAGCAGCTTCCTATTAGCACGGAGAAATGTTTTCAGTAACAGGGAACTGGCAAGTCCCCAGTGAATGCAGAGTGGCCTGAGGGGACAGGTGAAGGGGCTGCTGCGCCACCACTGGGCGGGGGGCTGTGCCTCTTGCTGGACGGGGCCCCAGGGGCCAGCCAAGGGGGTCCTGGCCCGCCCTTTACCAGCCCTGCCGGCACCCAGAAGGGAACTTTGAACCCAGACGGGGACTCCAGCAGAGGAAGGAATTAGGAGGAAAGCTGGAGCTGGGCTGCCCCACAGACCCGTGTGAGGTGCCCCCCCCAGTCCCCTCCCTGGTCAGGAGAGGTGGGGACCTGGCCTCATCCCAGCTGCAGGGGACTTGGGGGCACCCGGGGCCACCCCAGGAGTTGTGCCGAGGCCAAGTGGGGCCTGGGTGTGTGTGTGTGAGAGGCAGGGTGGTGGGCTGGGCTGACTCCTCTTGGGTGGGGGGACAGAAAACTTCCATCTGTACCTGCGCCCCTCCCCACACCCTCCCCGTAGCCCCTCATTCGGCAGAATTTCCTGGTGTTGCATGGGCACCACCATGAACCTCCGCTTCCTCAGGTCCGCGGGCCAGCCCAGCCAGTGCTCTAGGGGGACAGCACTTGGCTGGGCTTGTGGTCCAGCAGGTTCCTGTTCAGGTGGCTGTCGCCGTGCCACACCGCCTCCACGCCGCCCACCAGGTCGGCCGACCTGGCCCGGGGACAGGCGGAGGTGAGCCCCCGACCAGGGCCCCGATGTAGTAGAAGTCGCCCTGGCCCCAGAGAATGTGCTCGGGGACACAGGCGCTCGGAGGTGAGGGCCTGGTGGAGGCGGGGGGTGGGGTTGGCGCGCGGTAGAAGCCGGGGTGCAGGGACCCCAAGAGTGGGGCCAGGATCTTCACCCCCACTTGGGTCCCGGAAGCGCAGGTCCACGTGGGCGCCCACGAGGGCATCCACGTTGCCGGGGAAGCGCCGCCGCAGCAGTGGCCCCTGGACGCGTCCTGCCAGCGCGCGGGGCTGGGCGCCTGGAGCACCGCCAGCCCCCAGCTGGTCGGGGCAGACGCACGTAGCAGTCGACTTTGTGTCCCTCCATGAAGTGCTTCTCCGCTGTCTCCAGGAAGAGCCGCAGGAGGACCACGGATCTGCGGAGCGCGGGGCAGGCGGGCGGAGTGAGGGAAGCCCCCACCCTGGGGGCCGGCGGGCCGCTGGTCCCTGCAGCCGTAGCAGCCCCCCAAGGCCAGCCCAAGCCGCCTGCGACCGCACCTTCCAACCTCGATGCCGCCACTGGCGTGGGTCCGGGCAGAGAGCCCGAGGCTCAGGCAGGGGAAAACCTGCGGATCCCCCGCGGTCTGCAGAGCTGGAGCTGGGGGGGCTCCCAGGCGGGGCCCCTGTAGCTCCCCCTCCCCTAGGGCGATTCCCCTGTGGGCCCCTCCTCTGCGTGGCCTGAGTCGAGCCTCTGTGGCTGCAGCCCTGGTTTTCAAGCCCCGACAGGCTGCTTGCAGCCAGGGCGGCCTGGCCACCTGCGCCACCCCTATCCCCCAGCTTTAAGGGAGCTATCCCTGCCGCCCCACCCCCACCCCAGCCTGTCTCTACCCCTGGACGGTGCTCCCTGGAAGGCTGTGGGTGTCCTCCTGACAAGGTAAACTGCTGTGTTCCTGCGGAAGGGTCGCCCTACTGTGTCCGCGACTCAAGGACAGATGACGTGCCCCTCCCCTCCCCCGCTTACTGTTTGCTGGCAAACACGGCCAGCCCGACGGTGGCGCTCTGGAGCCGGAACGGCACATTCGGGATGTCGATGTTGAAGGTCCCCTCCCAGACCATGGGCGCCAGCCAAGGGGCCAGGGTTAGGACATCAGTCCTGCTGCTGGGCGAGAAAGCCCGTCCGTGATGCCGTGTGAGCTGGCAGGAGGGCGGACACACCGGGACCCTGGCGCCCACATCCCAGGGGGACCCCTCTGCCTCCGTCCCCCCGGTGCCCCCCACGGGCTGACTGTCCTTCCAGGAGGACTTGGCGTCTGCAGGAGACCCCCCGATGCAACTCAAGACTCCAGCTTGTGTAGATCACTCCAGGTTTTAGGGGTCACTGGGCCCTGCTGTACCTCACGTGGGAGCTGGGCTTGCCAGCCAAGGTGGGGCGGCGGGGCGTCCCGCCCTGGAGGGAGGAGGCACCTCACACCTCTGCCCCTTCTTGGAGGACAAGGGGACAGGAAATAGAGTGTGCAGGCCACAGGGGGAGACAGGGTCCGAGGGCCCTAGCGGCTCCGCATTCAGATCGCAGGGAAACCCAAGAGGAAGGGTGTCTGGCACAG